CCCCGCCCCCACTACCCGTTATATATATATATATATATATATAATTACTCTCAAGCCCTAACTAAACATATTTACTGTAACTACCAATCTAAAAATATGGTAATTAAACTAAAAAATGGCATTGCTATGTCATAATCTTATCAACTTTTTTTCCTGATTGTTCTTTTTTTCTATTTGTGCTCACTGATTGAAACTGTTAAGAGTTTGAATTGATCATGCTCTAAAAACAGATAAGAGAGAGTAAAATAGTTTTACATTTCATTGTGGGTAGAAATATTGTGAATGGAGGTTACTGAGTTTCTCTACTAAAGTGAACTAAGAAATGAAGAGAATTATTGGATTAGAGAAATTTTAAATTTTCATCTTTTAAAACTTTATGGATGTAATATGAATTGTAATAACAAAAATTCTTCTAGAAAACTTCAAGCGTAGTGCTATCACTTTCTTAGTTCAATTTTATTTTCCTTTTCTTGATTTCTCTCTAATAATTCTGTTTCTCCTTTTGTGGTCCAATGACACTTTAAATAGAATACTATATTATTTTGGCTGTTACATTCTGCAATCTATATTATGTTGTGTTAAACTATGTTAGAATGTTGTTGGATTATTTAAAATATTGAATTTATTTAGAATTTTGGATTATGCTCCTTGACCTTGGGTTTCGGCGGGTACGGGAGAAACGAGGACGAGAATGAGAATTAAAAATTTATCCGCGGATGGAGATGTGGATGAAAATTATACCCGTCAACGGAGGTGGACCGGGGATGAATGAAGTTTTTTTAAGTGGATATGAGAATGAATACTACACTCCCCGCCCCCACTTCGCTCCATTGACATCCCTAGTTCTGCCCAGCTCTAACGCGAAGGAAGTCCACACTCTTCCTGCCTCTCATCTTGAATAGAGTCAGGCTTTTCTTTCCTCCTAATGAGCTACTTTCTTTGTTCCACAACATGGAATTGAAATATATTTTTCCTTTTTAATGCATCACCTACTTCATTTATTTTTAAGAAAAAAAAAATGAGATGCAAGTTACTGTTGAACGACATGGGTTTTCGAATGGAGAGCATAGACATAGTGAGGACTATTTAGACTTTATTTGTGGCTCTAATATATTCAAAGTAATTGAATTATTAATAGATTTTTTTCAACGCTAAAATAAATTATTAATCTAATGACCATAATAAATTAGATTCATACATTAAATCTCAAATTAGTGCTCGATAATATAAGCCTTGCCCTCTTAATGTTTTAGTGAGGTTGAGAAATGCTGAGCACACAAATAAACTTGTGCTGCTTTACAATTGGTCAAAATGATTGTGGATAGTCCTAAACTAGAAATGAAATTATCTAAAATTTGAGGGCTAGCAAACGTCTCAATCCAAACTTCCCAAGTGATAAGTCAAGGTAAATTGTGTGTGTTGTTCCTTTCCTACCATTGACAATGGCAGCTGGTAGCTGTGTTCTTGCAAACTTTCCCACCCCTAGAATGACCGTATTACCCCGAGCCGTTCTCAGCAGAGACTACAAAATGCGGGTCCCGTACGAGCTGAAAAGGGGGCAGTCCCGTCTTTTCCACGAGCTCCCCTCTGGTCTGAACATGGAGGTTATCTTCCAGAAGGGTGTGAACAAGACAGACCCAGATGAGAGAAGAGAGGGATCTCAAAACCCACCTTTGGTTTTCATCCATGGAAGCTTTCATGCAGCTTGGTGTTGGGCCGAACACTGGTTGCCTTTCTTTTCACACCATGGCTATGATTGCTATGCACTCAGTTTGTTGGGTCAGGTGCTCTCTATTTCTCTTCCTCTCACTTGATCTTTATGTCGGTACTCACTACACAAATGTGCATAATTTTTCTTGTTAGATGTGCGCATATTAAACTTTCTTTTGATAAGCTCAGTACCTTTCACCTGTCTTGCAATGCGTCAATTCACAATATAACTTTTAGATCACCATCTACTCAAAATCACCGTGTACTTAACGATTAATGAGTAAGCTTTTAGAGATTGGGTGTAAGTTAAGAATTTCTTTTAATTATCAGGGTGGGCTATGAAATTCGAATGCACTACCTGGTATTCTAATAACATGTTAACTCATCATTTCTTCCAAAAGCATACTTCAACAAAACCAGAGCACAATGGTGATTCCCTTGAAGCTTAGAAATGGCATGATTTTGGTTTTTTTTTTTTCAAAATTTTGGTACTGATTTGGTGTGCTCTCTCTCTCTACATGATCAGGGTGAAAGTGATGCACCTGGTGGTTCAGTTGCAGGTTCCCTCCTGGTATTCTAGCTGTCCGCATGACAACAGCTCCTTCACCAAGCTGATTTTGGCTTTCATGCTTTCCGTCTTTCATCTTCCGTTACAATCCGCTTCTTGTTCTCTACTAATCTACTGCTCCAATTTTACAGTAGACACATGCAGGTAATGTTGCGGATTTCATTGGGAAAGAAATCAGGATACCACCAATTTTGCTTGGACATTCATTTGGAGGGCTTATTGTTCAATATTATGTTGCGAACATTAGGAATGAGCAATTATCAGGTAAACCTTCTATTTTAAGTGTTTCATATGCATAATTAAGAAAGCACAGTAGAACATCTTGACATTTTTTACCCGTAAGGAAGCAGTATCTACAGCTATATCAAGCGACAGCCTTGGCAGTGAAGTAGAAATGCAGTCCCTAATTATAAACTAACCATACTATGATAGGGAATTGTGGAAATTATTTTATCGAAGCAATTTACAAGTAATTCCATATCATATGAGAGGCATAAAATTTTCAGAGGCAAGTAATGTTAAGAAATAAAGCACAAGCATTTAACTCCTAAAAATGAAATGCTCATGAGAAATTTTAGTGTGCATTTTCCGCATTTAATGAAGTGAGAGAGAGAACTTTATCTAGAAACAAAACAGGTTGGCACCAGAGTGAAGGGCTTCTTGTTCAGAATTATATTGCAAGTGTAAGAAATGAACAATTATCAGGTAAACCTTGTACTTTAGATGGTTCGCTTCCAAGCAGGACATCCATGTATGTAGGCATAATGCGCCTTGGCAGTCAAGTAGAAACTCAAGTCCCTCCTTTTGAACAGAATATGATGAAAAAGAGAAGTGTGGGATCACAATTCAAGATTGAGCATACAAGGAATCAAATATTATATTAAAAGCATATAATTTTAAGAGGCAATTAATTCAAAAATGCAGCAACAGCCATGTAATTTGTAAGAATGAGATTTTATGAGACAATGTGTGCATATTTCAAATTTAATGAAGTGATAGACAAGTCCTTGTGTCTATGTTTACAGATGGAACTAGATACATTTTATTAACATATCCAGTCGAGGTGTTACATTGAATGGTTAAGGACAAGAAATTTGATTGCAAAGTCTTATTATTACCCCTCTTTCATGTGCAAATTAGGAGGTGAGAGAAAGTTGGGGTTGGGGTTGGGGTTGAGCCTTTGCAGGCCACCCCAAATAGCCATATGTCGGACATCTAAGGTGTAAGATAAGATCAAGGCATTAGTTTCATGATGCTTGAGCTAGAAAGGCTGTGCCACAAAGCGCTTACCTTCCTTGTCCTAAGGCAGACTTGTAATGTAATCTTAAGCAGCTTTTGCGACATTTGTTGACTTTACATGAAAGCATCCTTAGGCACTTTCTTGATTTCAAATGGTAATTTTCACTTGTACCAACTTTGTTTTATTCTATCTTTTTTTTTGTTTTTTTTTGAGTTTTCTGCTAATTGAACTTGGTTCTAGAAACTGAAAGCTTTCACCCTGATCTTGCTGGAGCAGTGCTCGTTTGCTCTGTTCCTCCTTCTGGTAATAGGTGACACCCTGTGCTATATAACCTCCTGCATTACATGTATCTAACTGAGTCAGACTAACACGTTCTTACTTGTACTTTATGCAGTGGGTTAGTGTGGCGATATATATTCTCCAAACCTATTGCTGCTTTTAAGGTCTGTATTTTTTCATACATCGGAGAAACTTTTGACTGCATATGTTGTACTCTCCCTGTGTTTTAAGTTGTACATTTTATATTCTCATTTCGTTCATAGTAGTTGTTATTCATTTTAAGTACCTGTGATAGACCAATTTAAATTTCTGAATGCTTGTTTCATCAAACATGGCAACCTTTTTTATGCAGCATCAGTGTTGTTTTGCTTTAATTCTACAATATACGCATAAGTCAATTTTATTCCCATGACTCAGATATGAATGAATTTGGTCTATTGTGCAGGTGACACGCAGTTTGGCAGCCAAAGCTTTCCAGACTTCTCTGCCTCTTTGTAAAGAAACATTTTTCTCTGCAGCAATGGAGAACCACTTGGTCCTACGGTTTGCACTTGACAACTTCAAATCGTCGTGTCATTTGAAACAACCCATAATGGAGAAATATACGTGCATCAGCAAAATATGTGCATTATTTTGTGTTTCAAAGCAAGTACACAGGCTGTGGTAAAATAAAAACTGTCTATATTCATGAAACAATAGAGTTGTTTGGACATGTCTATAGAAGACCCAGTATTGCACCAGTAAGAAATAGTAATTTGATACATATTGATAAAGATGCAAGAGGTAGAGGTCGGCCAAGATTAACTTTGAATGCGATAGGAAAATAACCTATGATAGCTTATAGTTTAAAAAAAGACCCCCAATAGTTGGAATAGGGCATTTTTGAGTTTAGTTTAGGTGAGGTAAGCTATTACACAGGTATATTTCTTTCATAAGTGTTTGTCTGTTAGAGTAGTGTTAGTCTATTAGAGTAGTCAGCATACTTAGACTTAGGAGTAGTGTAGTCATTTGTTTTCTTTTATGTTGCCCTATTATGTAAGGGCCTCTTTTATGTATTTTCCATTAAGCTGTAATTCAAATTAGTTGTTCTCTTCATAATATTTCTTCATTCTCTTTTCATCATTCTTTCTTTGATCTAAATTAACATAAGAAGTCTAAATATGAAAATTAAATAAAACACAGAATACAAAGAGTGAATAATATGTACCTAAATTTATGTTACAATGGACAGAAGTGGATTAATAGGGGATATTGCTCAGTCGAATTATCAAAGCTCAGGTTGTCAAGCATGAAAACAATATTTCAAATATGAAATGAGTGAAATACAAAGGGGGGATACATGTAGTGTTAGGACTAGAAGCAATAGTGTCGCAGTTACAATAGTATCCTTGCCAAACTCAGGCCGCGTGTCCAAACAACATTAGATGTGATACATTTATGCTTCATCATTGTGTAGGAGATTTTAAATGACTTAAGTCTGTGATTTGAAGTTGTAAGTTTATTAAAGATGCATCCATTGGAATAATGACCTCTCTAATGTCTTTTATCCATGTACTGCTTGTTTAGTGAAAACCAAGCCTTAAACTTCTTTTATCTCTTTCAGTTACCAAAAGCTGATGACAGAAAGTTCAAGGATGCCATTATTCGATCTAAGGAAGCTTAATGCATCACTGCCTGTTCCTTCAGTGCCCAAGTCGTCTGTTAAAGTTCTTGTTTTGGGTGCAAATGATGACTTCATAGTGGTAGATTCTGTGTTCAACAATGTTTCAATTTTAACATAGATCGTAATTGTTTCCACTTCAAGTTTTAATATGCCATCCTATCATTTGGGGGGAGATTTTTCTGTGGTACCATTACGTGTGGCCCTTTACCATTGATTGAAACTTATATTTTTTTATTTTTTGTGGTGGCCGTATATTCTATGCTGCTGATGCTTAAAAATTTATTATTGTTTTTCTGTCTCTTCTTTTCTATGGTAAAGCTTTTGATAATTGATGAACATTAAAGTAATAGAGCAACTGATTCTTGTAGGATGCCAAAGGACTCAGTGAAACGGGCCAGTTTTATGGTGTGCCACCTGTCTGCCTCGAAGGAGTTGCCCATGACATGATGTTGGATTGTTCATGGGAAAAAGGTGCACAAGTAATCATATCATGGCTAAGTAATTTAAATAGGGAGCAGACATTATGATTCCTGTAAGACATTGCCCAGCTTATTGTGTTGCTTTCCTCGTAAAATGTCAACTTGGCTTGCTTCCTCAGGCATCACAATTTAACGGAAGCAAAGATGCAAGATTGAACTGTAATATTTGTTCGTCCTGCTAATAATTTTCTATTTTTTGAGATGTATGTGATGCAGTGTAGTAGAGAAGAGAGAAACCTTGTTTAGACAAAAAGGTACCCTTGGATTATACTTTAACTATTAAATTCCTCCTCCCGAACATTCATGACTGTTCCCCATAGCATTGCTATGTGTAACTTAAACTCGTATACTAGTAAATTTGTGATTATTCAAGTTGACAAGTATTTGTCTGACCAAAAAAAAAATAAGTTTACCAGTATTCTATAGGTAGAGGCAATTTGTGGTTCTAAAATTGAACTGTCCGATAACTTCAAACTTAACCAGAAAAAATTCAGATCTCCTACAACAACAGCTAGTTCTCAGCTCCTTACTTACCTACTCTTATCTATCCTATGTGAAAAATATTTTTTTCCATCTTGGCTCTCCAAAAATGTAACTATGTCGTCCATTTCCTTTGCATTTAATGACAGAGAAACAAAATTGCCACTCCACTTCTTCCCTAATCCAGCCATCTCCTTCTTCTCCATTTTCAGTCATTTCTCTCTCTCTCTCTCTCTCCCTTGCGTCTTTATGATTCTCTCTCACCCGTCTCTCGCCCCTCTGCCTCTCTCCTTTTCCTAGCCGTTACATTCTCTCTCAATAATTTGCCCAATCTTCTCACCCATCTCTCAGTCTCTCTCCCTCTCTATACTTTTCCCAACCTTTAATCTCTCTCTTTCTTCGCAAATTGTCCAGCACCAATATGGAAACCATCAATTCCATCAGTTACTCCCTCTCCCTTGCATACTCACAAATCGGCCATTAACAACCCACCGTTCCTCATCTCTTCACCTTCGCCTCTCCGTCTGCCTCCCTTTAAAGAAACCTCTTCTTCTCTAGCTTGGGCAAAAAAGGAGTTGCTATGGATGCTGAATTCCTGGGGAAAGATGAGAAGTCACCTCTCCTCTTCTCTTCTTCTCTGGCTTGGGCGAAAAGGAGTGACTATGGCTGATTTTGCAGACTTGATTATGCTCTCATTTTCACCTCAAGTGTCTGTTTGGAGTAAAGGCCACAGTTGTTCGCCTATATAAAGCCCTCACCGACTTCACTACTCAACCAAAGGTGTCTTCTTCTTCAGCATTTCCAGATCTTGGCGAGGTAAGTTGTGTTCTTCTTCAACCGATTGAATTTATGTATGCATATTTCCATGTGTTTGTATTTCGTAGATTGTGTTCGCCAATCACATGTTTCCCTTTCGGTTCTTGATTTATTGTTTTTCGGTTTTTGTTGGAGGCAGCTGTGTGGTGGGGCTGGTGGGTCAAGGATGTATTGATTTCTCGATTTTCTTGGGGTGGGTTATAGCAGCGGTTTGGAAGAGGGCAGGTGGGTTTTCTTGATTTTTCAATTTCGCTTAGAGGCAGTGGGGTTGGGTGTTTTTATCATTATGGTTGAGGGAGGAGGGATGTTTCACCAACTCTCTTGCTGGGAAATCACCATCGGTGTGGCGGTGGTGGGTGGGAAGTGATCGTGGTTAATATATGTTCAAAGCTTGGAACCAACTTTATTTTTTGCCCTTTGTTAAGACTTTTTTGTGTTTTAGTTTTCTTTTTCCAATTTTTGTATTTTTTATGCTCATGTTGGGTTAATATGGATGCTAAATGTGCAGCATTATTATTAATGGTGTAGAATATATGTCAGAAATATCATGTACAACCTTATTTTTTGTGCTGTCTATGTGTATATATTGTTCATGTAACGAAGTTCCAAACCATAAACTCTTCCATAAGGAAATCATAAGAACTCACCAGCCAAGCAATATAATCTTAATTAGCAGCATTGGGTTCATGAAAACAACGATCAATCAGGTTTGAAGTAGTGTGATCACCATCCCTTTTATCCTTTCTAGCTTTTGAGATGGACTCAATGTTGTGAGTCTTGGCAAGCCATCACTTCGAATTTGGAGTTAAAACCAACTGGGTATATTGGATTATAAGTGAGTTTGTTTTGTGGATGTTTCGTGTTTCTTAGTATTCCAGATCTACAAGCATCATGTGTCTGCATTTATGTGTTTGTATGCTATTATCTCAAGTGAGCTTCAATTATCTCGCCTGCTACGCTTAAGATCAAAAAGAGTTTTGGTCATCTTAACTCATTAATCTATGAGTAATGCTAGATGAATTTAAAAAAATAGACTTAAAAATTAGACTTGATAATCTCAACCATTGAATAGGTAGTGAGTCTCAATAAATGTTGGGACCCACAGTGAAATCAATGATTGAGATTATCAAGTCTATTTTTTAAGTTTATATAGCATTGTTCTTAATCTATACTATCTATACAAATAAAAGATAGCTAAAGTGAAAAAAAATTTATTTCAAATATACCCTTCAACAATTTTAAAAAGTCAAAATTTTAATGTAGTAAATTCATAGTTAATTAGTTATGAATATGTAAACTAAAGGTCACTTGACATTTAATGAATAGTATAATTGGGTATTGGATTGAAGTCAGTCTTGGCCTTTTCCGTTTCTTCTTTTAAATTGTTGGAGAGTCCATTTACTCACTCTCTCTGGAAATTGGAAAGTCCAAAGAAGCCACTAGCAGCACTTTAAATTGGAAGCCTTGGTGGATTAACGTTCTACTAAAAGTTCATTTTCTTTTGCATTTGTTCGTTAATCTCATTCTCTGAGGTAAAAAAAATCGTGTGTTCTTTGGTTCATTTTGCATTTGTTTTTTACTCGAAGTCAAGCCCTTCTAATTTCTTTTTTCATCTCATGGAATACTAAGACTTATTATGCCCCTCTCTATACAAAATGTGAATGTTGCTTCAGTTCTAATGGTGTGGTTTTTGGACTTATTTTTGTTTGTTAGTATTTCAACTTTTTCTTCCTATTTGCAGTGTCTTCATGATGTTGTTTGTTGATGGTGTAGATTTACAAGCAGATTGGTGAAAATCATGTGGTTGACTAATACAGAGATATGAGTTGAAATAAGGGCTCAATAACAGCCTTGGGAAAATTTTGGATTCTGCGTGACTTCTCTTTTTCCCATTTTCATCACCAATATGCATCCTCCTGATCTTTCTTAATAACGTTTGGGGGCTCTACAATAGATATATAAGTTAAAATAATGATTAAATTTGTTTTTTCTTTGTGACTATGCCAGATAACTTTTTCTACCATTGGCAAGGTCAAAGTCATTTAGTCCATCTTTAAAATTTTTTATTTACTTGACATGTAATATCTTTAGGTATCTATTACTTTTTATTTAGTTTTCCAAATAGAGTGCTCTAATAAAAACATAATAGCGAACATGAGAATTGAATATTTAGAAATAATGTGGGGTGGAAATTTAAACATCAATCAGATAGTCTTAAGAAAATGACATAGTCATGCCAAAAAATATTTCGGTCATCGATAGTTCTCATTACTCTCGGATATTTCTCAAATGTTTTTTTCGTCTTGGAAAGAGAAAATTTCAATTTCAAATAGTGTCCAAAACACTCCTTGATTTTAGATACGTGTCCAACACTCATTTGATGACTCGCCCGTTTCTACTTTATTGTATCTACGACTAAAAATTAATATATGCTAACATACAATTAAAAACTTTGAAAACTTGACAAATGACTACTTGCACTATGCAAGAATTTATAATTGTTGAGACTAGTAATATTGTTGTTTTCCTTAAATTTTACTATTAATTAAAACCCATAAAATGTATAAAAGCTTTACTTAATGATTGGACTTTGTATTTACCCAAAAGCAATAAGAGGAGTTGGTAAGGCGAGAGAAACCACTAATTATAGAATTTTATCATGCATGATTAAGATTTTTGTTTTTATCACAAACAAACGGATTTTCAGAAATTCTTATTCAAATATCGACAATTGTACTAAATTTATAAATTGCTCCACGATATCAGCAAGATGTTCAGAAGAGCGATGTTTGCAATTGATGACTGAACCGATGAATATGATGATGTTGTCAAGGATGATAATGCATCCACTCAAAGAAAAAGATCTATTTATGGGATGAGCTTTGGTGACTCTCTTTTGATGATGAAGAGCCAAGAAACAAATTGGGGTGGATTGATGAGATTTTGATGTACTATATAAGACCAATATACTATTTTCATCATGTGCAGTATAAGTTTATATGTACTATATATATACATCTTATAAATCTTGGTTTTTGCTTTCTTTAGAAGCCTAATAACTGCATCATAAGACCAAAATTTCACCAAAGAAAGTGTTGATCTGGGTAAAATTAAACAAAGGTGGATCTTTGATAAATGAACATTATAACTAAAGTCTTAAGGAAAAAGATGATTTTTTAGATGTACTATAAATATGATGGCTTTTGGCCAAAATGGTACATAATTTGAATATATATTATTTTCATAATTAAAATGATTCACGTGCAATTATTAGTATATTAATAACAAAAAAAAGTCAAAATTTCAATGATTACACAACCCACTTCACTCTGCTGCTCTGCTCGCTCTAAAGCTAAAGAGGAAGTTTTTTTTTTTCTGATTTGAAGGTTTCCGCTGTATCAGCAAAGAAGAAGGCAATTTCTGCTGCTAAAATAAGGAGGTTTCATCAGGTTTTGCTGCACCAGCCAGTCCTTTCACTAGCACCACAAATGGCAGGGGAAGTTGCACCAGTAGAAGAAGTCACAGAGGTAGCTAGACCAAGTCCATCATCAGATCGTCCAACAGCAACCGGGATCCACCAGCATCCGTGGCGGTGTATCTAGCACCACAACCCTACTTCTGACTCATGCTGCACGACATAAAAAGAAAGGTTACCTGGTTCGAAAGGCAGGAGGTCTGCAATGGCTGAGAGATAAATTGCTGGAAATTTTCAATTCGAAACTAACCACGAGTTAGGGGCCAGAAGGTTTCTGAAAGGGTTAGAATTGCAGAATTATAGTTTGAGTGAAAAGAGTAAAGTTATGAATGGCTAATCATGATCAAAAATTAAAAATTGATATTGGGGATTCAAAAATAAAAGAGTAGAGATGAGGAGGAAAATCCCATAAGAAATTCACCTATACATCCTTATGCTTCACCCAAATGTTGGGTTACACATCAAACATGAAGTTCAAAAAGCTTCTTTTTTGTCTAAAACATTACATGGATTTTTGAAAACTACTGGGATCTAACTTCTTCCAGGAATTGCACCCCAAGAAATAAATATTTGAACTTAGATTACTATCTTACACCTAGTATACAGGCTACATTTTTGGCCTGTAATAATAAACATTTGATGAAACTTCGACCAACCCAAACTTGATTGGGCAAGGTTATGGTGAGGAGGTATCCAAAATTACCATCTTCCATCAGTCTCTCCTACTCAACTTTCAACTAAAGCCACCCATGCCAGCATCACAGGCCTTTTGTATGTGGATTTGAAAATTTCGGATTACCTTGCCGTGCATATTGATGTGACTCTGTTCTGATCTTCTTTAGCTGTACCCCTACATCTCTCATGTTAATCCTTTCCTCAGGTGATTCTTTCAAGCATTGCAAAGCCACATGAATAATTGACACCAATGACTGCTCAAGCATTGCACTGCTGCTTTCTTTTTTGAAGTCCATATCACTCGAAAGGCTTGAGTCCAACACTACCTTTACGGAATCAGGAAAGAATCTATTTACCCATTGATGCAAGCTTAAGTCTCCTCTAAACATATCATCTGTAGGCTTCTTTCTGGTAAATGTCTCGAGCAACAAAATCCCAAAGCTATAAACATCTGCCCTTGTCGATACATGCCCATCTAACCCATATTCTGTTGCAACCAAGCTTTCAAGTCAGAATTTATTCAAGGTAAAAGACACTATCAAGTGTTTGAAGGAAAGTCGAGGAATAATGATCTCAAACTACAAGATGAAATTCATGTCTCAGACAGTCGGACATTTCTTCTAAACGAGGATGAGTATATAGGCCAATGGGCACATGACTTTAAAAACTACCTGTTATTGCTTCTCAATGTGGCGGGTGGTATCTGCATGTGTCACGAGTCAACGTTAAATATTGTACTTTGCATTGCATTATGTTAATGATCAAGGTTGGTTTGTGTTTTCTGCCTTTTATTTGAGAAACATTTCTATGCAAATTTACTTGAAGATCATGAACGTTTCACTTGATAAATGTAAGAAAAATGTAGCTTTATCAGTAGTTTTGCAAGATGAGACAAATTATGAGTAGCAAGAAAAATTCAAAGGCTAATGCATACTAACCAATTACTCTTCGTGTAGTTTTAATTATTTTTGTAGCAATAGTTTTAGAGGTCAGGCTTAGTCTTCCACACTCTTATCTTTTAATTTTTTTGGAGGCAGGTGTGGTGGGTGGGGGGAGCACATGTTTATCTGCCCTTGCTCGAGTAAAACTTCTCCTTAAAACAATAGAAATGTAATTAATGAACATATTGGTAGCTTAATAGAGATGACTTCAGGATTAGTTTTTGTCATGAGGCAATTTCGGTTGAATGATCCAGTTTACATGAAAACCTCGCGAACTAGGCCAGCCTATTTTTATTTGAAATAAACAAGCCAAACAAGTTTAATTTGATAAATCAAAACTCTTTCAGTCATACCTGGAGCAATGTACCCGATAGTTCCTAGAGTCCTGGTTTGTGTCATTGCTTGATCTTGCGCCAACACCTTGGAAATCCCATAGTCTGCCACATGAGCAGTCATCTCCTCATCTAGAAGCACGTTGCTTGGCTTTAGATCACAATGAACAATTGGCACAGTGCATTCATGGTGTAGATACTCCATTGCAAGTGCTACATCTGTCACTATATCAATTCTTTGGATTAGGTTCAAGTGGTTGTTGTGGGAGTGCAACCACTTGTCCAGAGTTCCATTTGGCATGAACTCTAGTACCATAGCTTTGAAATCCATATTGGAGCAAGTGGAGATTATTTTAACTAGATTCCGGTGCCGTGCATTGCACATAATTTCACATTCTGCATTGAAATTTTTAAGTGCCCCTTCCGACTGCATGTTAAGAACCTTGATTGCAGCAACTGTACCATCAGCGAGCGTGCCTTTGTAAACCATACTAGAACTCCCACTTCCTATTAAGTTGGCTTCACTAAAATGTGCAGTTGCACGTACAAGCTCATGATAGGTGATGATCTGATGTCCCATTCTGGGGGAAGAATCCACTGCTGTGTTGCCTTCCACTTTCTTTTTGTAGAAGCTGATCCATGTAAGACAACATATGACCACAAGCAGAAATGTTGCAATAATGGGGATGGTTATCTTAAGAACATGAGATGTTCTTCTTCTTCGGTTGGAGGTTTGAGTTGGGCATGAAGGAAGTCCCAGTCTTGGTGCTCCACAAATTTGAGGATTTCCCATTAATGACTGGTAGCTGAGATTTAAGAACACCCCTTTTTGGGGGATTTCTCCATGTAGCCTGTTGAAAGAAAGATTCAGGTACTTGAGATCTTGCATTGACTCAAGGGCCTTGGGAATCATACCAGAGAGAACATTGGAAGACAGATCCAAGGATTCCAGAACAATAAGATTTCTAACAGAGTCCGGGATAGGACCCTGGAATGAATTCCTGGACATATCAAGTGAAACTAGGTTCTGGAGGGATCCAAGAGAATTTGGAATGTCACCAGAGAAGTTACTAGAAGAGAGGTCCATGATCCTGACTGCTTTTAAGTTCCCCATTTCAGGAGGGATGAAGCCATGTAGTGAAGTTCGAGACAAGTTTAGACTTTCTAACTTTACTAGTCTCCAGAAACTCAAAGGTATGTTGGAATTGAAACTGTTAGCAGCAAGAGAGAATTCTACCAGCTCCGTGAGATTTTTGATAAATATGGGTATGGATCCTGATAGCATGTTTTCTCCCAAGTGTAGTATTCCTAGACTTTTTATGCTACACAGTTCAGCTGAAATAGGACCTTTCAAATTGTTTCCAGTGAGGTACAGCCTTTCCAAGTTTAGCAGGCCAACAAAAGATGGGGGTATGTTACCTTCTAAATCATTATTGGCTAACCCCAAAAATGACAAGCTGCTCAAGTTTCCCAATCCTCGTGGAATGCTGCCCTTAATCTGACATGATTCTGCAGCAATGACCCTGAGATTGCTAGAGAGGTTCCCTATTGAATCTGGTAGAATCCCATTCAAAGGGTTGGAGCCAAGGATGAGATATTCTAGATTCCTAGAGTTCACCAAGGAATTTAGGAAGTCTAGATGTGTAGATTGGGGTTCACTTGTTAGTAAATTATTCTGGAGGTTCAGATGCTCTAGGTTAACCAGCTTTCCAAGCATCATTGGAATGGGACCGCTGAAACTGTTGTTCGACATCTCTAGATAAACAAGTTTTGAGGCGTTACATATGGAAGGAGCTATCTCTCCACTAAATAGGTTATGAGAAAGATAAATCTCTTGAAGATTGGGAAGCCACAAACCCAGATCATCAGGGAGTTGCCCACTCAGGTAGTTGTGCCTGGCTTCAAGAATTTGTAATGAAGAAATATTGAAGATGCTAGATGGTGTGTTATTGGAAAGTTGATTGTATTCCAACTCCAACCACTCCAATTGAAGCAGCCTACCCAACTCGCTCGGTATATTTCCGCGAAAATTGTTCTCAGTCAAAAACAGGTTATTGAGCTTTGATGCATTAGACAGAGAAACTGGGATTCTACCTGTGATCCGGTTGCTGTCCACAAAGAGACTTTCAAGATTAGGAAGCCAATGACCCAAATTCTCAGGTAGTTGTCCAGAGAGCCCATTTATGGAGAAGTCTATTATCTGTAAAGCTGAGATATTAAAGATTAATGGGGGTAGTGAGCCAGTAAAGTTGTTACCACGAAAGGAAAGGAGCGTGAGATGACTGAGTTTGCCAATCTCTGCAGGTATGTCACCCAGTAAGGTGTTTTCATGCAGATAAAAGTACTGTAAATTCGACAAGTTTCCCAGTGAAGCAGGAACATTGCCTGTGAGATTCATGTCGTTGAGCCGCAATGCTTTGAGATTGCTCAGGAGGCCTAGCTCTTCCGGTATGCTTCCCGTGATCATGTTGTTTGATATGCATAGTTCTTCAAGCTTCTGACAGTGGCTAATATTTGCAGGAATGCTGCCTTGAAGGAAGTTTCCAGTTAAATTGAGAAGTCTCAATTGAAGCAAGAGGCCTAATTCACTTGGTACAGTGCCACCCAAATCATTGCTACTGAGGTCTAGCACAAGAAGTCGAGTCAAATTGGCGATTTCCGGGGAAATAATACCTCGGAGAGCCAAACCCCGGAGCTGCAAAGCTACCACTCTTTTGTCTGGTGAATTTGAGCATGAGACTCCAAGCCAGTTGCAGAAATGAGTGTTTGAGCTCCAGTTGCTGGACAAAATGTTTATGGATTCTAATATAAGGTTGGATTTGAATGCAAGTAAAGCTTTGTAGTCGCTGACATTTGTTTCTTGAGCTAAACAAGAAGGGAAAGTGAAAAGCAGAAACACTAGGACTTCAATGATTGTGATCATGGTTGTTTCTTAATATGGTAATTGAGTAGCCTGTATTCAGATTGGATCATATATAAGCTTTTGACTATATAGTTAGAAAGGCACTTTCTCGAACTGCTGTAAGGAGATGGTGTAAGTGAAAACTAGTTTCTGGTCACATCATAAAGATTTGGCAGGTGGCTGTTGATAAAATTGATACCCTTTGACTTTGCAACCACAAGGACGTCAATACAATTTAGTCCATTGTTTTTTTATCACTCTTTCACATTAGAATCAG